AATTTTAGTTAATAATAATAAAAAGTAAAAAAATAAATGAAACGAAAACTTTCGAAGTTTAACATATTCAATAGCTGGTATTCGTGATTATATATATGTACATTATGTTATAATAAGTAAAGCAAATAGTTACGTCATAACATTAAGTTTTAATTTGAAATTTCTACTAGTTTTTCTTACTATACTTCAGCATATAAAAATACTCATGTTTCTAAGGGATTATTTATAATAATTAAATTTTGCAACTATTTTACTGTAATTAAGTACCGAAATGCAAAATAGTGACTTACAGAGAAAAAAGACTGATAAAATTATTCTCATTAAAAATATATATATATGATGCCCAATTTATGATACAATTTTCTCTTGGAAAAAATTTAATGCTTTCTTTACATTCAACTTTGAAATTCTCTTTACACAATTTTACACCTTTTTAACAAGGGACCTTTAAATTTTGTTACAAAAGAAGGGGGGGGGGAGAGAAAGAGCAGTAACGCCAGCTTTTAGAGTAAATTTTTGCTGTTGCCTTTGGTCATGCTGGTCTCCATAACATAGACGGTAAATATTACAGAAAGAGCTGGAATCCCGTCAAGTTTGATTTTGGTGGTCTTTCAAGATTTCCCCGTGATAATTAGTTTCTATTATAATGGTTTTCTATTATACTTTGCTCTTTTGCCTACTTGGCTTTTTTTTTGGAAGAAAATAGAGACTAATGAGCAAAAAAAGAAAAGAAAGAAAAAAACACGTAATAGTCGAATTATAGTCCCCTGGAACGGACTAATAAAAAAGTAGCAGAACGTCGTTCCGCTGCGTTTTGGCCCCACTTCACCCCTGTTTTAACTCCCAAGAAATCAGATGGCAAGTTTCTTTTTTTAAGAGGATTTTTCATTTTTTTTTTAAACAAGCAGATTATAAAGCGAATGTTTCTCTTTTTTCAAAATTATTTCTGCTAAATTATTAGTATTTTATAAAGAGAATTTTCTTTTTAATTTATCCATTCTTTAAACTCGCAATACAGCTTAAAAATTATTTACTTTCTTTGATTGAGATGAATGATATTATTATAATATCATCATATTATAATAATATCATTATATTATAATAATATCATTATATTATAATAAAATTATTTTATTATAATAATAGGATTACATTATATTATAATAATTTAGCAGTTAATTAAAATAATAATCTCTTTATAGCACAATAATTTATATCCAAATTTATTTGCTTGTTTTTAAAATTAAAGCTTGAAAAGGTAAAAAGATTTTAGAAACACCTTCTAAATTTTAAATAGCCGGAATCATTCAGCAAATTGAATTTTTATTTGTTGACACTAATCAAATATTTGAAGTCGCGACTAACCAATAGAAATTGACACATGCACACACAAATAATGTATTCAATACAAGAGTGTGTAACACCTAACATTTATTACAAACATTATTTTTTTTGTACAAGAAGTTTTACTTGAAATACAAAAATTCAACATAGAAAATTAATTTGATGCTAAAATATAATTGTTGCAAAGGGCATGTTTGTTCTTGTAAAGTAAAAGCCTCATATAAAACCATTTTTAACCATCAACTAATTTTCTATTTCCTGTATAAAATGTCTTAGACATATTGCATGCTAAACACACGAAGGGATTTACACAATCTTTTAATAAATAAACAATTAAACAACGCACATATTTATAAATAACAACTAAATAAAATTATTTTTCGGTGCATTTTAATAGTTTTTGCTTTAAATACATAGATATAATTAGATTTAAATTAAGGAATTCGAAGTAGTTCAATAAAAATTTAATAAGCATATTAGCATTTTAGAGAAATAAATCTTAAATCACCAGCCTTGAAGGATTGTTATAGAAAAAGCACTTGGAATTGTTTTAACCTTTTTTTCTTCCTATTTCTTTATTCTAAAAGAGCTTGTTAAAAACTGTAATTACTAAATTTAAGGAACAGTTATAATTTTATTAATCTGATCATAGATTGAATTCTGAAATTAGCATTGCATTTTAACAAGAACTACATTAATCAGTTTAATAAGTTTTGAACAAACACTCTTAAAACTAAAATGCATAGCAAGGGCTGTGGTTAGAGAGCATGTTTTTACGGTTTTTTTTAGATATAATTTGAAATTAATAAAAGAAAAAAACAAACGAAATCTCGGAAAAAATGTATTAAATTTTACAGCAGACATATTTATAAAATTTCATATTCGTATTTTTAACGACATAGTTAAATTTTTTCTCCGTGAAATAATTACTATTTAAAAAAATCAGTGATGACAATTGTCTGTATTACAATAATGTATTACAACAAATATTTTTTTTACAATTTTTTAAAGCACATGCATGTTTTTTTTACAACATAACAGTAACGGGCATAATAAATTGAAAATAAAAAAGCTGTACATAAAGTTATAGATATACATTTATTTACAGTAATAATTTATATACACGTTAGTGATAAGTAAAATTCATCAGTTCATGGCAAAACTCACATATAGAGGTTAACTTTATTAGTATACATTCAAAATTAAATATGTTTAATTCATTTTCACTGATTTTGGATTTAGTAGTTAACCCAAAGTTTTCTATTATAAATTATCTTTTTTTATGTATATATTTTAATGATCTCAAATTCAATTTTCTTATTTCAGTTTATATTCCCTTATTATTATTTTTTAATTTTTTTAGAAGAGCGTGCTAGCAGAACTAAAACTGATTAATTGCATAACATTTAAGGATGTAAAATATGCCATTATTCAGTTTCTTATAAAACCAATAACAAACTGATAAAAGTAAGACACTTTTCAAATTTTTTTTTGATAAAACTATAAAACAAAGAAATTTGAATTATATCGAAAACGTTTTTATGCATCGTGATTTCGTATACTGATTCCTGAAGGAATTCATTTGCATATTATTATTATCAACGGATTTAAACCATTAATTCAGTTCGTTATTTGACTGATGATATTCAGATTGTGGTTGAGTATACTATGATTAGATCTGAGTCAAGACTGAATCCTTTAAAAAATTTTAAAGTGCTAAAAAATGTACCCAAATTTCACTCTAGCTCTCGTTTAGCATTTCTCATTTCACTACATACTTAACTTTTAATCAACCTTAGAGTATGTCGCTTGGTCATGACCAACCCACAATTTGATTGGTCTTGCACAATTCGCCTTGTCTTTTACCACACTTTGACAGCATTGGTCTTGGAACTGTTCTTTTTTTTCTTTTGTTAAATTTTTCCTGCTGAAGTAATTAATTGTTCAATTCATTACTTAAATTTAATTCTTCATGCATATCATACTTTAAGTTGATTAATTTATCTGTTAGGAAATTACAATTTTACTACTGGAGATAAGCATGAAAGTGTACGGCAATCCGTAGTTTTATTTCCAGTTCCAAACAAAGCTAATTCCATTGCAGTGCTCTAAATTCTTTAGGAAGAAAAAAGTATAACAACTGATATAGTACATATTAAAAAGTTGACAAATAATAATACTAGATTCATAATTTTAAGAACTTAGGGACCATTTTCAGTGCACTGGTTAGATAAACAATAACAAGTTTTCTAAAGCCTGAAGAAATATAAAAAGCTTCCGGTGTATCCTTCCGCTCATGTTATGTTTTGCGAGGCGATGTGTGCACAGGCTTGATATTCTAATAACTTTTATTATTATGATTTGTGATTAAATTTAGGCATAATTTTACCATTCCTTCCTTTGTATCCTTCCGCTCATGTTATGTTTTGCGAGGTGATGTGTGAACAGGCTTGATATTCTAATAACTTTTATTATTATGATTTGTGATTAAATTTACGCATAATTTTACCATTCGTAAGAATTTTCCGCAATTTATAAATTCTAAAAAGTCACGAGCCGATTTGAGAAAATTAATATCACGACATAAATAAAGCATAAGGTTTTCCATGTTTTGAGTGTTTACCCTTATTTGATTCTATTTGAGTAAAATATCACTTTGTTATTATTTATGCAGCATCATAGCAGGCTTCCGAATTTGCATATTGTTTATTTCGTTGAAAATTTAAATTGTAAGAAACGCTTTATATTGTTACTGTATAATAATATTGGTTGGTGCGCTTTTCAAGCACGCAAACCAATTGCACTTCAAAAAGAAGATGATCACGGATACCCACACATATGTCCTATGACTTCACCAGCAGATGTTTTTTTTAATAAGCAAAATGGCATGTTAAAGTCGAGTTATGTTTTTCCACATACATTTGAATGTTAATTAACGTGAAGTTAATTAAATACAACGCCGTATAGAACATCAAATTTGTTGAAAGAAAATTCTTTCTCGTCTGCGTCTTTTACTTAGCTTATATTTATTATTTGTTTATGCATTTTATTGTAACCATGATCTATTTTTGTTTTGTGTGCCTGGCAACTTCGATGCATAATTTGTTTGTTTATGCTCTGCATGTCTTCGTGCCTGTCTTTGTGTTAAGTAAGAAATATATAGTGAAGGCAATGAAATCTTTGTGAAGGAATCTTTGTGAATGAATATAGAATGCATCCTTTACGATAATTGACACTTGACGGGCTTGACTCATTTAAAGTAGAATGTAAAGAACAGTTGCAAACGTAACGTAAACATATGCCACGTTTAAACAACCAATCAGGATTGAGATACCCTCACTGCGTCACTTGCGGGTCCCATTGAATTTTTGATTTTTCAGTATATATTTCGCATGAATTTTCATTTGAATTAAAGAATTGATGATAAAAAAATATAGTTTATCCATTGTTATATTTTCTATTACAAATAAAAGTTTGTCAGTAAAATATTTTATTTAACACTATTAAGAGAAAGGAGGGAGATATTCCTATTTCGTGGCGTTAAAAACGATTGAACATCTTTAACTCATTGTGTTCTGAATAGAATTTTTGAACAGGCTCTACCAGCTCTGAGTCACAGAACTCAGTATAATGACTAAGGAAACTCAAACGCTGTGTTTTAATACATAAACTTGATATCATTTATTTAGGATAATATATAGTTTGTTAAGATTTGTGTAAAAAAATTCTTTACTTTGTATTTGCGGGTGTATGGAAGAAATACTTTTTTTTTAAAACTTACATCATATTTTTACACTTTAAATAACAGTACCGTTAGAAATTTTAAGTCCATCTGGGTCAGCTTTAGTTATAATATAATCATCAGCTGGTATCTTTTCTTTCAATGGTTTATCAACATCTCTGACAAGATCAACTTTTGATTTATTTTCCTCACACTCTTCTGAGCCCTCTGGTGGGCAATACAACAGCCATGCAAAGAAGAAGAATACACTCGACAATGTCTTGAGTACACATGCAAGTATTAGAACGTTGGTGCTCATTTGTTGATTATTGTAAAACAGACAGGCTCCTTGTTTATTATTGCAAGTATCTTGCCACAACTCGCAGCTGAGATCAATCAGAGAACCGAACAAAATTGGTGCAGGAATAGTACCTGGAAGTAAACCAGAAAATTTTTAAATAACTGTTTTTTTAAACGTTTTAGTTTCATTAAATTAGTTTCAGTTTCATTTATTGTATCTACAAAAATAATTGCGGTCATTCTGTTTTCCTCAATATAAAGTTAGAAGAAAACTTTTAGAACAATAACCTATACTTTAAACAAGTCCAAAGAATAATTAAAGAGCTTATAGTAGAATAAAGTGACAGTTTTGAGAACAGTGAGACTTCTCGTGGAAAGGTATAGTCTCATTTAATTATACAGCATCTATATTAAATTGCTCATGGGCTGTAATAGCGGCACAACTAAAAAAATCATGTTTTNAAAAAAAAAAAAAAAAAAAAAAAATCAAGTTTTGAGATTAGTGGTTCGAAAGTTTTCACTGCTAAGGGAAATGTATGAGAAATGCTTTAGTTTGCTTAAACGAAGATTACCTTCAAGTTGAATTATGAGTTGTGCTAGTATTGCTGATGAAAAGAATGTGTATTTTCCTATTTACACCTGTTCTTAGTCCAAAACGCGTTTCTTAAGTTGTGCCACTATTGCAGCCCATGAGCTACATAAAACACTAATACAAATATTGTCACAAAACCCATGAAATTTTTTTCTCTCGCGTTGGCAACAAAAAGCTGAAATTAATTGAGATATAAGTTGGTCTGAAAGAGGAAAGGTTAACAGCAAACATTTCTTATGAACCAACAAACTGTTCTATATTTTTTTACATACTTAATAATAAATGTTGATGAGATATGAATTTTATCAACCAAACTTGGTCATAAATACGTCGCTCGTTGATCAATGAAATTTTTTGAGAAAGAATTTGTTACTTCCATTTTCACCTGCTCTTTCTAAGCTTTCTTTATTTCTTACCTTTTTCTAAGTTGTTTGGAGATAAATTACGAGTTTATGTTAGAAAAATGGACTTAAAACTGTTGGGTCGCCAAATATCATATTTATAATTGCGTCAATAGGAAAATTCCATGAATTATTTGTTTCAAGTGTAATTTCCCAGTAGCATTGAAATGTATATAAATCAAATCCAAAAAAACTATTTGCAAATCAAGGTTTCACAGGATGTGTTGCATGTTCTTTGAGCTTCCTTTGAAAAGAGTACGACATACAAAGCCAGACTAAAGTATAAAAGTATCTTATCAATGAGTGAGCAAAGATAGTTGAAATTGCTAAAACAATTCGAAAGCAAATCAGTAGATAGATGATCAACGGAGCGAGCAGTTGGCCAGTAAAATTTATTATAGCAACATTTTTTTGTTTAAATTTTGCAGATCTCAGTGAAGAAAAATACTGTGACAATCTTTGGGTGTTTTCTGAATGGAAGAATGTTCTAAGTACATTTGGCAAGAAATTGCCGATGACAACGGCAGAAAGTTTCTCTTTTGGCAGCAGATTTAAACGCCCAGATTGTAATTGCGAAAATGCGAACAAAACAGTTTAAATGAATAGAAAACTGTATATTTTTTGAAGGACACAATCTTTTTTTATGCTTTTTTTGCTACACATTCTTTGTTTTTTTCCAAATAAAAGAGGAATTTTTGAAATTATTTTCATTGAGACAGAATTAAAAATGCAAAACAAGTAAAAAAAAAAAATAAAAAAAAAATAAAAAGAAAGAAAGAAAGAAAAATTATTCTTACTTAAGAAAAAGTATATTTGTTTCTAACATCATTTTATGATCAATACTAAATAAATGAAATGAATTAAATTAACTGCTAATACCATTTAAAGTGTACAGCACACTATGTCGCAATGTTGCAACTAAGTAACTAACTATTCGGAAGAAACGTAACAAAACTTTTCAAGCGGTCACAAACGTTGAAATGTTGTGAAAAAGTGTTTACGGAAACATTTAAATGATTTTTTTTTTGTTTGAAATATTTTTAAACTACTCACAAAACATTTTTGCATATACTATTCTTGTAAACTTCCTCTGCGACTTCGGCTTAATGTGTAAATATTTATAAAAATCTGTGTATGTATCTTGTATTTCGTACTAATACTTATGGAAGTATTTTCACCAAGTTTCAAAATTAGCTACAAAGTTCGTCAACTGATGGTGATGTTGAGTAGAAGAACTGTTAAACAATATTTTAAGCTCAGTTAGCAGTGCGATCAGTTGACAAACTTCGTAAGTTATTTCGAAACTGGGAAAAAACAAATAAACTGGTTTCCTAAGCAGAAGTCAGGAAACCTTACATTTCTTTTCTCTTCCATCTTTCGATTTACTTTGAATTTATTTTCTTCAATTGATTTATTAAACCGTCCATCATTTTCCATAACTATTTAAGGCATATTCAAGTAGCTCATGATATTTGATTACTTACCAAGAAGTCGTACTGCGATCCATTGAACTCCAAGAGCAAATGATTTTTGACTTTCTGCAACACACCTAAAATTAAATAATACATTCACATAAAATACTTTTCTTCAAATAAATTCAATTAATCCGAAACTAGTTTTTTTTAAATTTAACATTAAATAATATGTTATTAATTGTGTAAGTAATCCGATATAATGTTACAAAAGCTGCCAAAGTTATGAATGATGTAATTTTATATTATTTTATAACCGTCGTTGAACAGCCGACCCAATTTTATGGGTTTACGACTACTAATACTCAACTCCGTAGCCTTGTAATTTTGAACCCAATCCAGAATACAAGGGAACTCCTGGATCGAGTATTGGGGGAAATTTGCCTTCATGGAGGACTTTTTTGATGGAGCTAACCCGCATTTGCGTTACATGGAGAGGAAGACCACGAGAACCTCCCACGGTAAGCCTGACGACAAGGGGACTCTAATCCATGATCCGTCTACCACTGAGGATATTTCGCGTCAGCACTGTGGTCGGTGTAAGCCGGATGCAGAATTCAGATCGACAGGGATTCGAACCCGGTTCGCCTTATTGGAAGGCGAACGCTCTATCCTCTGAGCCATCGCGACTTGAATGATGTAATTTCATTTTATTTTATAACCGTCGTTGAACAGCCGACCCAATATTTGGGTTTACGATTACTAATGTTCAATTCCGTAGCCTTGTAATTTTGAACCTAATCCAGAAGACAAGGGAACTCCTGGATCAAGTATTGGGAGAAATTTGCCTTCGTAGAGAACTTTTTGATGGAACTAACCCGTATTAGCGTTACTTGAAGAGGGAGACCACGAGAACCTCCCACAGTTAGTCTGACGGCAGGGGTACTCTAATCCATGATCCGTCTACCACTGAGGATATTTCACGTCAGCACTGTGGTCGGTGCAAGCCGGATGCAGAATTGGAAGGCGAACGCTTTATCTCCCCTGAGTCATCGCAGCTCGAATGATGTAATTGTCAAAATTAATACTTATGTTCAACTCAAAACAGCTGATAGCAAAGTTGTATCAATATTTAGAGAAGCTGCTGAGAGAATAGTTACGCCTGTGATTATATCATTACCAATAAAAGCTTACATACATATACATCAGGCTCGAAAAATATATTGATCGGCATGCCTGGAACGTATGAAAATTCTGATGGGGTATGTATTATTTTCCCCCATATACTTGGCTGGGCATGTAAATCTTCTATTAGAGATACTGTAAAATATCGATAATAGCCTTTCAAATATTAAAATGAAAATCGCTACGATGCTGAATGGGGTGAATAAACGGCATCAAGAGTAAGAAAAAAAAATTATATTTGATCAAGCGTAAATATTATTTATAAACTCACGTTTGTGAAAATTGCACCACCATGAAGGACTTACGCGAGTGAGCTGAAATTTTCAGGAAATGCAAAGTAGAGCATGATATGCAAATGATTAGAATTTCAGACCCGTAGCGCATGCGTATGCTGAGCAGCGCCCTCTGAACGGCGGATGGATCCGAATAAATAGACGGCTGTAGCCAAGCGAGTATGGTTATCGGTGGTTATCTGCTAGTGGTAAATGTTAGCTTAGTCATTACTTACGCCTATTCGACGAAAGAGAGCTAGATTTCAACAACTTACGGAGTTTAAACGGGGGAGAATCATCGGCCTTCGTGAAGCTGGATTATCTTATCGTGCAGTAGCCGCTCGTGTGCAGCGTAACAGCAGCACAGTGATGCGTGTTTGAAAGCAGTGGATGGACGAGTGTCGGACAACTCGGAAATCCAGGAGTGGACCCTGAAATGTCACGTCAGCTCGCGATGATAGACACCTGCTCGGCGTTGCGCTTACGGACAGTACGGCTCCCTCTAGACAACTGGCAGCACGGTGGTCAATAGCTACAGGTGTTTCATTGTGTGCTTTATCAATTCGTAGACGTCTGCTGCTGCGTGGACAGCGCGCAAGGACTCCTTTATACAGGATCCCCCTCACACTAAACCTTCGCCGCCTGCGGCTGCAATGGGCCAACCAGCATAGGGACTGGCTTGCTGATTGGCAGCGTTTCGTGTTTTCTGATCAATCTCGTTTCAATTTGTGGTACCATGATGGCCACATTCGTGTCAGACGCTATGCCGGTGAACGCCATCTTCCGGAGTGCGTTATCGAACGCGACAGTGGACGAACACCCGGGGTTATGGTCTGCGGTGACATATCATGGCCGATCTCAATTGCTACGAATTGTGGGTAATCTGAACAGCAACCGGTACACCAGTGAAGTTTACATCCCCAAGCTGTTCCCTTCCTTCAAGCCTTGCCAGGTGTTGTATTTCAACAATAAAATGCCCGCCCTCATATTGCTAGAACTGTTCAATCCTTTCTTGCATCGCGACAGGTACAACTTCTTCCTTGGCCGGCGTATTCCCCGGATATGTAGCCGATTGAACATGTGTGGGATTTCGTTGGTCGGCGTCTCGCTCGTAATCTTCGTCCTGTTGCTTCTACAAACGAACTTTGGGTACGCATACAAACAGTATTGAATTATCTTCCTCAGACAGACATTCAAAGTTTGCTTGACTCCATGCCATGTCGTGTAGCAGCACTTATTGCGGAGCGTGGTGGTTACACAAAATACTGATTTCGATCTCTTGTTACTGTTTGTTTGCTTTGAAAGTTTAATCATTTATTTGTACCACTAACACTCAACTGTGTATTAAATTTCATTCAATTATGACGGTTCCTTCATGGTGTTGCAATTTGCACAAACAGGAGTTTATGAAACTAACAAGAAGAGAGAAATATTCATAAAATATCTTTATAACAGATATATACAGTGCGTATATACAGTGTAAGTATCCGTGTGTATTTAGAGTGAATAAATCTTACAGTGTATATTTTACAATGCTAGAATTTTTATTCTAAAATTGAGGTAAAATAACTGGCAATAGTCTATTCATCCAACTGACAGTAAAATTAAAGGTTAGGAGAATTTCCTTACCTTTTCGGGTTTGAAATAATTTATAACAGATAATTAGAAAGACCACAAATATGAAACTATACGGTTTTGTTACTATTTACAATTATCATATTTTCAAAATTGTTATATTACGCTTTTCGATTGGCAATGGACAATAGAGTTAGGTTGTAGTTGAGTTGTATTTTATCAAGTGAATGGTTGAATGTGGCTTAATTAGTTTATCTAGTGGTGTCATCTATCACGAGAGATGCTAAGTACTAGAGTTTTTTGTGTTAAGTAGTAGGGTGCTTTGTATGAGTGAATGAGAATTTCTTTTCCAATAGTCCAGGAACACCAATCGAGCAATGCAGAACACTGGAAACTTCTGATATGTTATATGAATGGAGGAAATATTGTGGTATCAACGCTGGGATTCGAGCACTCGTTTAGACAGTTATAAGAAGAACAGATTAAGCCTTTCGGTTACACTATGTACTACTATGTAAGCTGCAGCAGCTGAAAAGAATTAATTGTCTTCATAAGGTGTTCACCACATACTTATTACTTTATGATTATTAGGCATCCGATGTTGTGCTAAGCATCCGATGATGGAAAATAAAAATATGAATTTGTAATCCTTATGGCATGGCTTAGCTTTCAACTTTCGAAGAATGTGGTCTTGATTTTTATTGGCTGTGGGTCTGGTTGGAAGGGATATACTTTTTTTTGATGTTTAACTCTATTGGGTGAAAACAGTTAATAAACGATTGTTTAGCAGTTAACACAGGGGTTTCCAACTTACATGAGGCCGGAGGCCGCAATTAAAAATGTCAAATGACGGGCCGCAACGTTATCAACATTTTATATAGGACTCTTTTATGTTTGAAGGAACATTAAATATTACTGTCAGATTTTTAACAAGTTGTACAAAACAAAAGTATTGAATTACAAATAATAATAAATATTTTCTTGGATGCAAAACCTGAGAAATGTTTTTTTTTTTTGAACCGTTGGTATGTTAAATTTTACAAAAATAAAGAAATTAGTTTTTTATTTCTTTTTTAACGAAAGAAAAGTATTTTAAAGCCATATAGATTTTTTACGCAAATTGTCCACAAAAAAATGACAACTAATATATTTTAGTTCGCGGGCCACAAAAAAAGGTTTCACGGGCCGGATGCTACCCTCGAGCCGCCTATTGGTAACCACTGAGTTAACAGTTTGAATACCATCTTTTCTTTTATGGTTATTTGATTCATTTTTGGTTGAATATCGTACAATAACAACTAAAAAGATTTTTATTAAACCCTTTTTCCAAGACTATTTTCCATGATTTTCTATAAAACTTAAGGGAACTGTATAATTTTAAGGGTTTTACTTTTTCTAATAAGAATCTGTTCACCACCATTTCTTTCTTACCTAGCAAGAAACAGTAATGTAAAATTTTTTTTATCAAATATCTTAATTCTTTTGGAAAAAAGCTCGAAATAGTTTTTTTCTCATTTATAGGTAAACTCTCCTTTGGAAGTATTTCTCTTGGTTATAAGTCAATGTCCGCAACATTTCTCTCTAAAAGCAGTATTGATTTATCAGGAAGGAACTACGACCCTTTGAAATGTGAATAAATAAATTGTCTCTCGAACCATGAACAATACTATATTTGAGAGCTTAGTATTACGATCATTAATCAAACCACACTGTAAAAAAAATCGAGAGTATGTTAACACAAAAAATTGTATCAACTACTTTTCACCAAAGTATTGTAGTGATTCATTATAGCATACACAATAAAAAATTTAGTTGCCAGTATTTTTGCAGTTGAGATAAAACTGAATTTTCTTACAGTACATTTTTTGTTTACTCTTACATTGTTATAGTTTTTATATTTACTTGTATATTTTTTATGGCTATTTATTGGCCAAACATGTTTTCATGTGCACCAGAAAGAATTCAATTGCTTCATTGCAAAAACTTATAATTTAAATTAACAAACGCATTTTTAGCAATAAATTCGCGTTAATTGTTTCAAACAATTATTATTTTGTTTTAATTTTCTATAAATGTTTGCGTTATAACTGCAGTTCAGTACTTGAAACCGTATTTGTAACTAAAATATAAAACTGTTGCAAATACAATTTTAAGAACCGAACTGTAGTTATCATTCAAAAAATTATAGAAAATTAACAAAAATAATTGTTTGAAAAAATTAGCTAAAAATGCTCTTGTTATTTAAATGATACCGTTTTTGCGATGAAGCAATTAAATTCATTCTAATGCACATTAAAATATGTTTCGTTACCACATAAGAAATGTACAAATATGTAACCGCTAACCCTAAAGGAGCAGGAAAAGTACTTTCACTGAGCTAATGAAAATTCTATACTAATGTTTTGAGCACCAGTATATGATTTCCTTACCTTAAAGTACCAGAAAGGGATGGCATACTGACGAGGAATGTAAAAAGCATGGATAAAAATATGAGTAATAAAAACACAGGCATGTATGTGCAATAATTAACACATTTTTCCCTGGTAGCTTGAATGATAACGTTTTGACCATTTACTGTTGCATTCTGACCTTCATGTCTGATGCAGCTACAATCCCCATATATCTGCAAGGAAGAAATACTTATTCAATTAATAACTGAAAAATTGCACACATTGAAAAGAAGGAAAAATACAGTAATGTAAGTACTTTTGTACTGCCTATTTGATAAGTGCTTTTACATCCGGCATAGCAAGGAGAATAGTAGACGATGTTGTCTGTACCACAGACTGGATCATATTGTCTTGGCGAGCAATCACAAGCATCATTGCAAGTTCCTTTAAAACGAGGAATGCCAGATGGCTCAGAACTACAAAATAAAATTGCAAATCTTTTTATTATATTATAATTCACACATATACAGCATTCTTTAAAATGTAACAATCTAGTAGATAAATAAGAATTTAACCGAATGCATAAATACGCATATGTAGAAGGCATGAAAAAAAAATTCAGAGTTCAAATACTTCCAATGAAAAGTTAGGCAGCGCTCCCTTAGTGGTAGCAAAATTTATGCTTTAGTATTAGATTTGAAGTTATCTTGACTACCATGGGACTTTTCAAACGCTAGTAAAATTTTAAAAGCATTGGCTAAGTTAATTATAACCATTATAAATATTAGGGAGATCTAGATATTTTGGTAGTTACTCTATACATGGTTTTACATCTTCAGATTTCAACCTTTGTCATTAAATTTTTAAAAGTGGATATGAGTAAATCATAGCTGCCAGCTTCTCCTGATATTTTCCGTAGTTAAAATGTACAAAAATTTAAGCTGTTTGCTTTTAATAGGGTACTTGCAACTCGATAAGAATTGATCATGCCTAACTGTATGATTTAAATTGGATTTATTTGGATACCTGTAAGCGACGTCATGTGCGTCTCGAACCTGATTCACTTCTGAACGCTACGATTTACCTACGATGACGTCACTTGCATATATCCGATTCTTAGAGTTTCAAATTCAATTTAAAATGCTTCTGACAACTACAGCATGAAAATAAATTTAACAGACATATGAATGTATGGTAATCTTAGGGTTATGGGTATAAGTTCGGTCAAAATAGTTTTGCCTGAGAATATAGTTCAATTCTCATGCTATTTACAACTTCGTAAAATCATTCTTGGAAGAAGAAATATTTGGTAGGTATGATAAATAACTTTTTTATTTACCTATTAGGCAGAAAATGATTGAGACCTGCAAATTTCGCATTTGGACAATGGAGAATAAATATGAAGACAAGCCCGACACAGATGAAAGAGAAGATGATGCACATTTTGATGATACCCGCACAACGAAGATTAAACTTCTTGACTAAGTAACCGCCAAGAAATGTACCTCCGCCAGCTCCAGGAATCGTCACGCAACCTAATAAAAGTTTATATACAGTTACATCAAGTTTATAGTTCAACAATTTTTAGATGGTTATAAAAAGTATTGAAATACTTTTCATTAAACAAACCAAAAATTTTGAATAATTGAACTTGGTTAGCACTAAAAGTATACAAAATAATTCAGGACTATCGTTCTAAAATTTACATGCAGGTCAGCTCATGAAACAAAGTCGTCTCCTATTGAATTTTTTCTTTGGGGTGCAGAAACAAAGTGTATGAAATCCTCAGGAAATCTGACAGGATTTGGGGGCACGAATCGGGGCTGCAATGTAGCGAGTACGCTATTTGAAGACGTTTTTCGGTAGTGAAATGCCAATTGGAATGACATTGCAAAAAGATGTTTAATTGACATTTTAGACATCACGTAAAACATAAAATAAAAAGCTGTACGCATGTTATGTTTGTTTCTAGAAGTATGTTTAAATGTGTGGCAAAAAATATCATTTTAAATCAAATATATTAAAATGAGAATCAAGTATGATTGAAAAAATCTTGTAAACCACATTAACGAAGGACTGAAATACCTATATTGCCCAAAAGCAGTCAAAATGATTGCTTTGTGAAAGAATGACTAATGTATAAAGAATTTGTTTAAAATTAATTTTTAATATTTTTGATATTATTTTCAATTATATAACAAGTTATTAGTAAATATTAATAATAAAAAAAATTATATGTTGTGCAAGAAATCACAAAATTCTACGAAATTGTATCATTATTGTTTTTCTAATTGAAATTAAAAACAGTCAAAATGACTTCTTTTGGCAATCTAGTGTTAAATATAGAAATAAAATCTTCCAGAAAATCCTGAAAAATATCAACATAGCTGCCAACATGGATAGGAAAAAAATTCTGTAGATTTTACGAAATAATATAAATTTGATGATAATTGTTGCATAATGAGCTAAAAAATTTACGCATAGGGGATTTTAGGGATTTTTATATTTATCAAAATAGAAAAGCTGCAATATTTTCCAGTTATGATTGATATTAGTTACCAGTTATGACGCTTTATATTTACTCATAATTTGAAAAAATGATAGGCATTTAATTCATCAAAGATAGTTAAAAGAATTTTTAATTAATTTAAAAAGGGAGTTCGGAATAAAAGTAAACTGAACATTTTATAACGAAGCAAAGTTTTGAATTTATTTCTATAAATGAGACTCGTTTCATTATGTATTGGCAATACTTATTTAATATTCAAGCAAGCAATAACCTCTGCAAAAATTTCATTTCAATAGGGATTTTTTTTTGTTGAAAACTGAATTTTCTGCTGAATTTTAGGGAATTTTCTAAAATGTACAAAAACCTGGAGAATTTTTATTAGACCAGTAGACCAGGAGAAACAGGCAAAAAATCCTGTAGTCTACTGGAAAAGCCAGTAGAGTTGGCAGCTATATATCAGGTGTATTCCTATATGATTCTTGTTTGTTCTCATTTTACTGACCAACATGTAAATTTTTTGAACAGTATTTTGAACTGTATTTAATCCCTTTGTAATATATTAACATATGAAATTAATTTTTCAGTTGCATTCTCAATCAATTCTGATTCTAAGATTTTATTTACTCAAATTGAATATTAAAGTAAAGCTTACCAACTAACACAGCAGCCCAGCTAGCAGCTATACTAAATTGAGATTCTATCACTTTTGGTAGAAAGGTTGCCAATCCGGACACAAGCATTCCTTTAGAAGAGAAAAGAATTAGTTTTATGAAACAGAGCATGCTCAAACTTTACGACGTTGTTTGCAAAAAATAAAATTTCATTGAAAATCCAAGAGTCAAATAAAAACATTATCAATATTATATATTAATTATGAAGACCTAAAAGGAAATCAAAGGATATAATAATTAGGTAATAAAGTTATTATTTCAGAAGAGATATTCTCAAAGCCACTAAAATCTCCTCCAAAATATAAAAATAAAAATCATTTAATTCTGCCAAAGGAATTGAAGCTTTGGTTGACTACTTATGTTGTAAATAAGTCTGTTTTTAATAGTTTTACAAATATTGGCAGAAGAAAAAGTATAACTTTTTGTAAAATATAAATCAAGTTACTAAGTACAAGTACTAATACCGTTTATGAAATAGTATTTAGGGATAATTAATACTAATTCATTCATATCAATATTTAATGAATAGGCCAGTTTGTTATTGCAGTATAAATAATACAGTACTTATATATATACCATAAAAAATATACCGCACCTAAATAATATTTTTGACAAATTAATATTTTTGACAAATAGTGTTATATGTGAACAATGTCATATGACAATAGTAATTAATATTTTTGATAAATGGCGTCACATGTCAAAAATATTAATTATTATTAATTACCTTAACTCGCTGTAGTTCATATTATTGACAAATAGTAAAATTTTAGAGACCGGGATAGCCTGGTTGGTAGGGCACTGGATCCATGCACAAGAGTTCATGGGTTCGATCTCCACCGACCGAAGACTCCCCGTGTAGTAAATGGTGACTGATGCACATTAAATCTGTCGAGTCTCAAAGCCCTCTATGTTCCCATAACAAATCAATACCTCTGGGGGTACTGATCCAGGAGCTTCCTTGTCTTCTGGATTGGTTCAAAATTATAAGGCTACGGAGTTGAACATTAGTAGTCGTAAAGCTTAAATTGGGTCGGCTGTTCAACGACGGATATATATACACCGAAGAGCCATTACATTATGAGCACCCTCCATCTATAACAATGGGCTCGACCAGATTTTCATGGTTTTTCGCCCAGGAACAATGTTTTCATGGGGCACATTAGGACCCATAATCCTCATAGAACAATCCCTGACGTCTGTAAGCTACTTGAACATAGTTGCAGACCAGGTTCACCCATTCATGGCAACAGGTTTACCTGTTGGGGATGGTGTTTACCAACAGGATAATGCACCATGTCATAAGGGTCGAATCGTCGAGGAACATTCCAGTGACTTTCAAGTTATGTCTTGGCCCCCAAATTCATCTGACCTTAATCCAATAGAGCATTTGTGGTCCTACTTGGAAAACCGAATTCGTGCTGTCACGCTAACCCCTCGCAATGTGAGGGAATTGCAGCATCAGTTGGTGAGCGCTTGGTACCAGATACTTCAGACTACCTATTAGCACCTTGTGGAATCAATGCCACGGCGGGTGCTAACAGTTTTGCGGGCTAAAGGTGGTCCTACATGTTATTAGCAGGATGGTCATAACGTAATGGCTCTTCGGTGTATATATATAAAAAAGAAGTAAAATTTTGATGTGTCAATAATGTCTCAGGTCAAAAAAAAAAATTTGAAATTTTTGACAAATGGCGCCATATTTCCAAAATATTAATTGTTATTAATTACCTTCTGTCGCTCCAGCCAAACTCAGAAACACAAATGTAGGATTGGTGAGGAGAAATCGGAAGGAAGATGGAAGATCCTTCAGACTGGTACCAAATCCATTTTGGACTGCTTCACTATTTTGTAACTTTTGGTGCATTTCAGTTTTCTTTTCGGCTTTTATTCTTGAAGCTCCTATAGACGTAAAAATAGTTTTTCATCATTGTTCGTGTTGCTAATACATAAGCTCTTCAGAATTAAAATGTAATGCGAGGTCATGCATGCCACAAATGAGATGATATAACTGGAAAAAATCGTCCCAGTTAAATTTTCAGTGGTCGGTAAACTCTAATAACCTAGTAGCTACTTTTTCTCAAACCTAATAAGTCGGTGACCCATATAGATAGGTCCTTTTCATTTAATAGCCACTTTTGTAAAATTCTTTTTGTTTAGATTAAATTATATTAATGAAAATTATATTAAAAAATTATATTAAAAAATTATATTAAAAAAATTATATTAGAAATAATCTACGGCTATAAAAAGTTAATTCAACAATATAAACGTATGACGAAATTTTGTTACAATAATGACTTTAAAGAACTTTATTTAAAAAATATTTGAGGAGGCAAAATGCATTTAATGTGTACCTGGTGAGAAGAGCTTCATTTAAGCTCTTCTCACCAAAGCTTCATAGCTTCATTTTAAAAATATATTTAGAATTATTTGAATTGTTAAAGAACTCTATTTCCGCATAAATCTTTCTATCACAAATTGATGGATTCTTAAGGGATCAAATTTTGAATGAGAACATTAGACATTTTAATGAAAAGTATCTGTTTTCCAAAGTCCTTGATGTACTTTTATCATTAAACAATTTTCAAAAAAAAAAAAAAAAAAAAAAAAAAAAAAAAAAAAAAAAAAAAAAGAAAAAGGGCAATGGGAAAAAATAACTGGTTGTTTATTTAATTTAAGTCGATTTACTATAAAATCTATTATAATAAAATCAAATACAATAAATCACTGAATCACTCCAATTAAATAAATATTTCTATAAAGATTACGGTATAATATTTTACGGTAAAATAGATTTTAAGGAAGAAGCACCTAAAGTGCCGGTACTTTATACCGTAATTTGATCGATCCGGAATCTTTTTACAGGAAGGAACACCAATTTCTGGTTATCGTTTCATCGAATTTCATGGTTAAAGAAACTGATCATTGCTAAATTTCTGAAATACATATTTCACTGCATTTGTAAATTCTGCTATATTGGGTGTACATCAGCTAGATATACATATTAAAGAATAACTGTAATTTTCACAAAAAAAAACTCTATATGAAAAAATACAGTTTTTCTTCGTAAAATAACAATATAATTCTGTAATAATGACAGTACTCAACTGTTTAATAATAGAAAATTCACTTTATATAATAGAGTTTTTCTGTGAAATCAATTGGCACACTTGCTGACAGTTTCTGTAAATTTAATATTAATTTTTCACATTGCAAGGTCAACATACATTACATAAAAAGCTTATAGACCAGTCTAAGCTGACGTCAAGTCACTTATCTGTCCACTGGCAATCAATCAATTATCAATGAGTTGCAGATAGCAACCAACAGGAATACGTTTCTACTGGGATGTGAATATGAATCGTCCAATGATAATGGGGCAAATGGCAATTGATTGGTTTATTCCATTCAGTGATATAGTTCAGCTCCTGGCTTGGACATTTCTATAAACATGTATGTATAGTTACAAAAGTTATTCTGTCATTCAAAGGTTTATTTTTTCTCATATTAGAGACAAAAAAATTTACAACTGTGCTTTTGCAGCAATATTTTAATTTTTTTTAGGATAGCCCATTTTAATACTTCTTATTTTGAATGCTGTTGCTTATCAATTCAAATTAATTTTTAGTTATAGCCTCGAATACTACCTTCATTTTTAATAATTTTGTAATTTTTTCATTTTCTAAATTTTTTTTTTTGTTTTTACGTCATTAGCTGGAGAAAAATGTTCTAACCATTTTCCTTGTTTTTTGATTTTCTAACATTTTCTTTCTTCTTTATCGTCTTTTCTTTGAATTGTGCGTATTTTACTAGTCTATTTAAGAGAAAAAGATAAGGACTCAAAACTGCTGCGTTCTTAAACACTTTCATTTAGAATTATAAATTTTATATTGAATATTTTTTGAACTTAATTATAAAAAGAGTACCACAACTCATGCGAAGTTAGACTAAAATAGATCAGTGCCAAAGCGGTGAGCGACGCAAACTTGAATTTAGAACCAATATTACAGGAACATCATGCGCAGCGTCCAGTAGGAAGAGGAGCTTTGGTTGCTTCTCTTTCATTGAAATTTTTTTTCATTCCAATTTTCAAATTTTCATTAAAAAATGATTTATAATCTTTCACCATTTTCATTGAAAATATAAATTTTCATTTTTAAAACTTGGGATGGAGGGTGCAAACTAGCACATTAAATAGTTGCGAGTTCACAGAACATTTTTCTCTTACTATTGTTTCACTAAGTTTCATTTAAAATTATTCTAAATGTACTTTAAAAGATATTTTAAAAAGACATTGATTTAAAATCATTTAAAAACATGTGAGTAAACCTCAAGATAGGAAGAGAGAGAGAGAGGAAAAGAGAGAGAGAGGAAAAGAGAGAGGAAAAGAGAGAGAGGAAAAGAGAGAGAGAGAGAGAGAGAGAGAGGAAAAGAGAGAGAGAGGAAAAGAGAGAGAGAGACTGAGAGAGAGAGAGAGGAAAGAAGAGAGAGAGGAAAAAAGAGAGAGAGGAAAAAAGAGAGAGAGGAAAAGAGAGAGAGAGAGAGAGAGAGATAGAGAGAGGAAAAGAGAGAGAGAGGAAAAGAGAGAGAGAGGAAAAGAGAGAGAGAGAGGAAAAGAGAGAGAGAGCGGAAAAGAGAGGAAGATAGAGAGAGGGAGGAAAAGAGAGAGAGGAAGAGAGAGAGAGAGAAAGAAGGAAAGAGAGATATAGGAAAAGAGAGAGAGAGTAAAAGAGAGAGGAAACGAGAGATAGAAAAGAGAGAGAGGAAAAGAGAGAGAAGAAAAGAGAGAGAGGAAAAGAGAGAGATAGGGAAAAAGAGTGAGTGAGGGGAAAAGAGAGAGAGGAAAGGAGAGAGAGGAAGAGAGAGAAAGAGGAAAAGAGGGAGAGGAAAAGAGAGAGAGAGTAAAAGAGAGAGAGGAAAAGAGAGAGAGGAAAAGAGAGAGAGGAAAAGAGATAGATCGTGAAAAAGAGTGAGAGAGAGAGGAAGAATGTGCAAAAATAAGTAACATATTTCCCAGCTGTTTTACCTGGAAGGGTTTTCGGAAATGCTGTGAGAGGTATTGCTATAAGCGCACCAATTATTGCTGTAAATATGAATCCAATCCACCAAGCACCAACCCAAACACTGCTGGACGCTGTTAGACCCAACCTGTGAAAAAAAATATATGCAGCTGCAGCGAAAAATATTTATAAAGAATAAACATTTGTATAGTTTTTAAACAAGAGTATTAAGATTTTTTCGAGTCATTAATACGAGATTTATCGAGATTAACAAGTTAAGATATAATATTATGGTGTTATTTCACATAATGATGTTTCTAAAAGTTGCTTAATGAATAAATAAATCTATCTAAATAATTAAAATTAAATCTAAACCTCGTTTCTAAATAAATCTAATTATTGCTTTTTAAATATTGGGTCTAACAAATATGTTGTTGGACGCATTCTGAAAAAAATATATATAGCTTCACAGCGAGAAATATTTATAAAGAATAAACATTTGTATATTTGCTACACAAAAGTATTAACAAATCCTTCGTGTCATTTTTAAGACAGTTATTGTGATTAACATGTTAACATGTGATATCATGATGTTATTTCCCATCATGACGTTTCTAAACATTGCTGAAAAAATATGCTTATAAAACCCGATTCAAATTCTACTTCTGTTTACAAATAAGTAACAACTACTAACAACTACCAACAACTAATTACTAAAACGAGAAAATTTGCTGTTTTTTTTTTCAAAATTAATAATATACTGTTCTTAGTTTGAATTGAGACACTAATCTATAACAAATTGTTTTTACTTACTCTGATGGATCAACACCAATATCTACATAAAGTTTGAGGAATTGTCCTCCGATCAAGTAACCAACCGCTGGTCCAATTACAGCCATTGTATAGTATATGCCTAGAAAAATAATAGCAATTTAGTTAAATATAAAACAGTCAAGCAACTTGCTTAGCATTTCCTTATTTTCAACAAATATTTGGGCTGGGATAGCCTGGTTGGTAGGGCAGTGGGCCCATGTCCGAGAGATCGTGGGTTCGAACCCAGCCGGCCGAAGACAAAAGTGTAGTAAAGTGACTGATGCACGTTAAATCTGTCGAGTCGCAAAAGTCCTCCATGCTCCCATAACAAATCAATACCTCTGGGGCTACTGGATAGGAGATTGATCGTTCTCTGATTCAGGTCAAAATTACGATCTGTGGATGAATGAATGGGTGTATGAATGGGTCCACTCTATAAACGGGTGTGACGTATGGTCTGGCAGAAGTCGAATTATTGGCCATAGATGGCGCCACTGGAAAACAAGAACAATCGCACCCCTTCTGCCTAAACAGGCATACGTCAACAACAACAAATATTTAAAATGATTAAGAAATTTAGTTCACGAGTGTTTATGTTTTCTAATAATTTCTCTTTTCAGAGAAGACTTTTAATATCCTAAAAAGTCTAGAATAAATACATTAAGTACCAAACATGCAAAACCTTTAATTCGTTCAAAGTTTTGATTACTCATAATTTGGGGACATTTTATATTAATATCTGCTCATATTAACTACAATCGCGAAGGCGCCGAGGGATTTATGTACTTGCAAGAAGTCGTTAGGAATGAAGAAATGTAGTGGCTAGTTGTAGTGGTGTAGGTATAGTATTATACCCTTCAACTGTACCACTTTATATATAATGATTATTTATAAATAAGTTGTGACAAATGTGTGCCGATTATGATGGATTACAATAAATTCGTTATTGTTGAAACTGACTATTTTTGTAAATTCAATACCATAATTTACTATCCATTAAACTAGCCAAAATTTTGAAACTTGAATTTGAGTATTTAATGCCTGTCATATAGCTTAAAAATTATTTGAAGAAATATTTTCCCCATGAACAAAAAAAAAAAAAAAAAAAAAAAAAAAAAAAAAAAAAAAAAAAAAGTAAATAAATAAATAAAATTAATAAAATAAAAAATAAAAATAAATAAATAATTAAGTTAATTTGCTAATTTTCTACCAGGTGTAATAGTTGCAATTTTTAAAAGACAAACAATCCCCTCTTTTCTTTTCTTTTTTAAAAGACAAACAATCCCCTCTTTTCTTTTTTTTTTTTTTTTTAAACTAANTTTTTTTTTTTTTTTTGAAAACCCCATCACGTTGGTGCTAACTTGCTATCCTGCATGTAAATAATGTTTTTAATGAGAATTTATTTCAAAACTTTAGATATTATTCAAATAATTTTTTTCTTCGTATAATTTGTATTTATTTTAATTAAATATTGTTTGCCGAATTGTGTAATCTGCATTTCTGATTTTTATTTATATAAATATTCAATGTTTATTTTTTCTCATTAAAGTAAAAAGTTTTTAATATCGGAAAAATAATTTCGCTGTATATATCATAATAGCTGCCATTTGCCGTTTTGTACGTTTTAATAAATAGAAAAATCACATGATACGCAAAATAGAAGTACCAAATATATTTTATTGCAATCAGCAAAAATTTAATAAAAACTTTAAAGATATTAAATTAAGAAAAGTTATAAAGAGCTATAAACTTTTTACTTTTACTTATTTAACAGTACTATTTACATGACGTATTTATTTATTATCCTCTCTTAAAATTATTCTCTACTAATATTAAGTCTTTGATTTTGATTATTATTCAAATTTGATTCTTTTTGTTCAAATTATTTCCTGATTATTATTCAACTTCTTTATTTTACTTTATTATAAAGTAATTTTATATTACGTGTTTAATTACCATTTTAGAATAACGAAATGGTAAACAAATTATGTTTATTTTTATAATTATGTTTATGTAAAATTGTTTCTGGTCAACTTTTATAGCTAAAATAAATAATGAATACAAATTAACCATTTCAGATTATAAAATAATATTAGGAATTAACTTTTTGCACAAATAATCTTTCATCAAAAACTTTTAACGAGTTTTTAGCATTACCAGAAATTAAATATAAATTTAAAAAATAAGGCTATTGAAGAAGATACAACGGAGGTAACAGAAGAATATGATTGGGTTTAAAATGTATCCTAGTCAGTGGAAAGCAAATTTGATCTAAGGCTTTAAAAATATGTTGGGATTTTTTAGTTGACTAATTTTTAAACATCATGTATTTTTTGTCAACAAATCACACTGATAGTAAAGCAGTAGCAAACACGGGCTTGGTTTTAGCTAGCAAAGGCGGATCCCTCTAATTTAATTACCTGTTTGTTACAGTTTCGTTATTCTGGAGAATGCCATAATTTCTCTATATAAAAGCTAAAAAAACGATTTAAAAAAGTTTTGAAGTTAAAAAGAAAACAAATGATATAATGATAAAACCCTTAGTTACCGATTCAAAATATATCTTTCGAGTGTCTTTTATTCCTCCCCCCGAAATCTCGCATATCTCGCATATAGATGGCGACACCATAAAATGAAAAATAATTTCATCCTAGGAAAGATTTATCATTAATCATCCATCACTTCTTCAGAGTTGAGGTCAGATACTTTTACACATTGTTGATATATTTATTGTTGATACGATTTAGCAATTTAAAAATAAATATATTATATGATATTTAAAAGAAAATATTATTTATTATTTTACTTCAAATAATTTTTTTACCATATAATATTTTTTTAAACAAAATATTATATATTATTAAAATGTATACTACAGAACGTAAGATGAAATAAAAAAAAAATATTCTTACATAAAGTTACAATAATTGCATATGTTGATGTTTTTTTGTTTTAGTGAAAAATATCAACTTTTAAGAGGGGGGGGGGAGAGAAGAAAATTGTGATGAATGAGAAGCAATCCCGTGGTTGGTGAGCGCCAAGTTTATTAAATATTTTTTGCTACATCTGGCAACACTGTTTTATGTATTTTATGCAGGGAGAAAAAAAAAATCCTAGTAAAATTATCGTACTGTATAGTAATGACATTTTTGGTTTTCAAAAAAGAAAAAAAACATAATTCTGGTCAATAAAACCAAAACATATGGTATCTAAACCATTCATTTAGTAATTTTCGCGTTCATATGGTAATAGTTTACTGGAAATTGTGGTTTTCAAAATTATAATTCTTATTACCACACATTTACTAAAAAATACAAAACTGAATAGTAAATTTAACCATATAAACGGTTTCAATGCTATGCTTTAATGTATCATGATAAAATTACCAAATTTTAGCACTCTTACTAAATTTTATAACATATTATAAAACCATATAGTATTGCTAACTTTACCAAAATTATTAGCAAAACACTTCGGTAAAGATTACCAACTTCCCATAGAGCCAGAAATACGCTAAATTTTACCATATTCTGGTATTTTTGACCATACTTTTTTCTCAGTGTACAAAATGAATGAAAAACGCCAAGAAGAAAAAACTAAACGTCAGGCAACATCAAAAGTTTCGGCATAACGAACTAAAAAATAAAATGTCAGGTCATGTTGTCGGGATGACTTTTCAAAAAGAATTTTGAAATGACTACTAGTAGTATAATTGTCGCGAAAGTTGTTTTGGCACGAGATTTTGTGAGGAAACCCAGATTATGTTCTATTTCGAGAACCAGAGGAAGAATTTATCAATTGGAAGAGCATCAACCTTCACACAGATAGTGAGACCATTTATTAGATTTATGTGTCAGTTTATTCCCTGGCAGTTGACAAGTCGTCTTATTTGGTGAGCACTTTGGGAAATATGACATACAGGTGAAAAACCGGGTCTTTTTGATAAATGATACAAATGTATTTTATATTTAAGATTCATAAAGGAAGCTTTTTGTAAACAGAATTCATCTGTTCCAATAACCAATTTTTTAGTATTTTTTCATGGCATTCTATTGAAAAGATGAGGAGAAAATTTTTTTTAATCTTAGTACATTCCTTATTACTTTTAAAAAATTTATAGTTGTTATTAAAGAGACTTGACAAATAGGGGAAAAACCGGGCCCTTTTGATAAGTGATATTGATCAGTGGTTACCAGCTGTTGGTCCGAGAACTAAAATATATTAGTTGTCATTTTTCTGCGGACAATTTTCGTAAAAATTTTATATGGGTTTAAAATACTTTTCTTGCTTAAAAAAACCTAATTTCTAAATTTCTGTGAAATTTAACATATCAACGGGGTCAGGTTTATCAGGTTTTGCATCCAAGAAAATATTTATTCAAATACAAAATTAATCGTGTATGTTGCTCGTTTTTATTTCGTTTTTTTTTTGTATTTTGTGAATATAATTTAGCAAGTGCGTATCAGAAATTTTCTCGAAGAAAATCTCCGATTTAACGTTTTGAAATCACTCATTTTGGACGAAATTATTTACATCTGTAAATTTTAAATTTAAAATGTAAACATCTATTCTCTGGCGGTTGCAGCAGACAAATGTCAATTCTCTCACTGAACATTTTGTGTGCTACTATGTAAGTTTTAATACCAACCTTTTTAAAGTTTTATATTTAAGAAATTAGATATTTGTTGCACATTAATTGTTTAACAAATAGGTGCACATTAAAGTTATTGTAGCCAGAATTTTTAAAATGCAATTAAATATTTTTAAAAATCTACTTCTTATTTTAATTTGTAATTCAATACTTTTGTTTTGTACAACTTGATAAAAATCTGACAGCAATGTTTAACGTTTCTACAAACATAAAAGAGTCCTATATAAAATTTTGATAAAGTTGCGACCTGCCGTTTGACTGGTGTTTTTAATTGTGGCCCCCGGCCTCATGTAAGTTGGAAACTCCTGATATAGATGTATTTTAAATTTAACATTCATAAAGAAAGCTTTTTTAACACAGAATTGATCTGTTCCAATTACCAAATTTTGCGCATCTTTTCATGAAATTGTATTGAAATGAGAAAAAAACTTTGTTTGTAATATAAGTAC